ACATTTAATCATTCTAATAATTCAATTAATTCTACATCATATAATAATCAATATAATTCAAGTGAAGATTCCTATTATAATAATAATACACAAACAAACAAATCATTACCACCACTTCCAAATAAGAATAAGCAACAAGCAATTACTTCACTTGAACAAGATGATTCAATGTGGTCTAATGATCATAATAATTCATCAAATAATCAACCACAATATTCATTAGATACAAATGAAGATGATGATTTCCCTGTTGAATATCAAAATACTACTACAACTAGTACTATTACTACCACTGCTAATAATAATAATAATACAAATAATCAACAAAGTGCTGATAGTTTCTTTGATTAAATAAAAATACTTTTATTCATTGTTAATTGTTTTAAATGATATTTTCAAATAATCAATTCATTTTCATTTTATTATTTAATAAATAGGCCTATATAAATAAAAATTTACAATCTTTAAAAAAAATATAATTTGAAAAAAGAACAAAGATTACTAAAATTGGATTTTCAATGGGTGGACGTATTTCTATACATTTTAGTAAATTATATTCAAAAATAGTTGATAATTTAAAAAATAAGGAAAATGTACTAGTTATGAATACTAAAGATATGACAGTTTGGGAATTTTTTAAGATCGATTCTTCTTTTAATTAAAATAACTTAATTCTCACAAAAATTGTTTAAATGTTTATTTTACATTGTTAATTTACGATTACGAGTTGATTTAATTGAATCAAGAATATTTCTCAAATCAACAAGTGTTTGAATAGTTTGATCAGTTGTTGTTGAGCTACTAGTTGGTTGTTGATTAGTTTCTTGTTGTTGTTGATTATTGAGTTGACCATTTTGTTGGTGCTTTGATCTTCTATTCATTCCTCTTTGCATGTTACCTTGTTGTCTTGATTTTTTCATTCCACCTGCTTTTTGCATTCTATTGTTTTGTTGAGATGATTCAGTGTTGGATTGATTACCTAATTGTGGTTGCATGTGTTGTCTATTATTCATTTGCATTCCTCCTTGTTGTTTACCAAATCTTCCCTTAAGCATTCTGGATTGTTGCTTTCCTTGTTGAGAATTTGTTTGCATATTTGATTGTCCCATTCCTTGTTGTTGTTCATTGAATTGACCATTTTGTTGCATTCTTCCTTGTTTCATTCCTCCTTGTTTCATATTACCTCCTTGTTGTCTTGATTGACCAAATTTTCCACCACGTTTCCTGCTTGATGACA